CCCCCCCCCCTCTCTCGCACGCGTTCTCGCCCCCCCCTCGTGCGCGCTCTCGCCCCCCCTCGCGCGCACACGCTCTTGCCCCCCCTCTCCCTCGCGCGCGCGCGCTCTTGCCCCCCATCTCTCGTCTTTCACCCTCCTCGTGCACACACTGTCTCTCTCACACACACATATACTCACTCTCTCCCTCAGAGACACACACACTCACTCATTCTCTCCCTCACACTCTCATACTCTGTCTCTCCCTCCTCCCCTTTCTCTCTCTGTCACGCGCACACGCGCACACACACACGCTGTCTGTCTCCCCGTGTGGCCAATGTGGCGTTTTATAAATTCCTAGTTTAGATATAAAACCAGTCTGACTCCAAACTAAAACACAAACAGATTCCATACAAGGCCTCACACCTAACATATGTTGTCTGACCTAAAATGTCACCTCTTCTTTACACTGATAAAACCTTTACTTCTGTCAGGACAGGGACTTGAAGGGAATTTGGGGATTTACATATACATATTAATCAATTGAAACCTTCTAACTGATTAAAGATTTAACAGCATCTTTAGTTTGTTTAATACATCCTCATTAGTGCTGTGAGCTTTTGATCTTTTACTTATAAATACTGTGTCTGATACTATCTCTCTCACTAACACCTGAAGAAGGAGCAAAGCTTCGAAAGCTTGTGTTTTTAAATAAACCTGTTGGACTATAACCTGGTGTCATGTGATTTCTGACCTTGTCCACCCCAGTCCAACACTGGCATCTCCACATCATATCTTCATAGTGTTGCTGCATGTTGGCCATTTACTTGCCTTGTCTCACAGTTGAACCTATACCTGTTTTCTCTCATACTTTAATCTGAGGTCTGAAAGGATGAAATTATCTTGATCAAGACAGGAACCCTTCTCTGTAAAGTCAGATTGGGCTGATTGAAGCAAACAGCCAAACTTCATCCAATGGCCATTTATGAATGAACTTGAAATGTGAGAATGGACCTTTCATTTTTATCAATCAGTCAAGGAAGAGGCTAAATCTAAACTGATGAAACAGCATGGACAAACTAACTGAATGAGTGAAACAATGATAGGTAGAGTTCACAGTGGAGAATTGTAAGGCTGTTTAGTTTAGCTCCACCAAAGGCAAATAAGAAATCTGAGGATTGGGAACAGTTTAGAATTCAGCAAAGAAGGACCAAGGGATTGATTAAGAAGGGACAAATAGAGTATGAAAGTAAACTTGCAGGGAACATAAAGACTGATGCTGAGTTTTCATAAGTACATGAAGAGAAAGAGATTGGTAAAGACAAATGTAGGTCCCCTCCAGATAGAAATGGGGGAATGTATAATAGGGAACAAACAAATGGCTGAGGAACTGAATACGTGCTTTGGTTCTGTCCTCGCAAAAGAAGATACAAATCAGATACCAGAATTGTTGGAGGATACAAGATTTAGTGACAGGGAAGAGCTAAGAGAAATTAGCAGAGAAATGGTGTTAGGAAAATTGTTGGGATTGAGGCCAATAAATCCCCAGGGCCTGATAATTTACGTCCCACAGTAGTTAAGGAAGTAGCTTTAGAAATAGTGGAAGCATTGGTGGTTATCTTCCAGGATTCTCTAGCCTCTGGAACGGTCCCTGCAGATTGGAGGGTGGCTAATGTCACTCCAATATTCAAAAAGGGAGGTAGAGAGAAAGCAGGGAATTATAGACCAATGAGCCTAACGTCGATAATGGGGAAAATTCTCAAATCCACTCTCAAGGATTTTATAGCAGAGTACTTAGAAAACAATGACAGGATCAGACAGGGTCAGCATGGATTTATGAAGGGGAAACCATGCTTGACAAATCTGTTGGAATTCTATGAAGATGTAACTAGTAGAGTTGACAAGGGGTGACAGTCGATGTAGTATATTTAGAATTTCAGAAAGCATTTGACAAAGTCCCACATAAGACATTAATGTGCAAGATTAAAGCGCATGGGATTGGGGGAAATCTATTGAGATGCATAGGAAACTGGTTGACAGAGAGGAAATAAAGAGTAAGAATTAATGAACAAAAACAAAGTAGCTGGAAAAGCCCAGCAGGTCTGGCAGCATCTGTGAAGTTAAAAACAGAGTTAACATTTCAAGTCTAGGAATTAATGGGTCCTTTTCAAATTGGCAGGCAGTAACTATTGGGGTGCCACAGGGTTCGGTGCTGGGACCCCAACTATTCACAATATATATTAATGATTTGGATGAAGGAACAAAAATGTAACATCTCCAAGTTTGCAGACAATACCAGGTTGGGTGGAGAGTGAACTGCGACAAGGATGCAGAGATCCTTCAGTATGATCTCGACAGGTTGGATGAGTGGCAGATGCAGTATAATGTGGATAAATATGAGGTTATTCACTTTGGAAGCAAAAACAAGAAGGCAGATTACCACCTAAATGGCTGTAAATTGGGAGAGGGGAGTGTGCAGTGGGACCTGGGTGTCCTTGTGCACCAGTTGCTGAAGGTAAGCATGCAGGTACAGCAGGTGGTAAAGAAGGTAAATGGTATGTTGGCCTTCATTGCGAGAGGTTTTGAGTACAGGAGCAGGGATGTGTTGTTGCAGTTATACAGGGCCTTGGTGAGATCACACCTGGAGTATCGTGTGCAGTTTTGGTCTCCTTTTCTGAGGAAGGATGCTCTTGTCCGCAAGAGAGCGCAGCGAAGGTTTACCAGGCTGATTCTGGGGATGGCGGGTCTGATGTGTGAGGAGAGATTGATTAGGTTGGGATTGTTTTCACTGGAGTTCAGATAAATGAGGGGGATCTCACAGAGCCTTATAAAATTCTGACAGGACTGGACAGGGTAGATGCAAGGAGGATGTTCCCAATGGTGGGTGTGTCCAGAACCAGGGGGCACAGTCTGAGGATTCAGGGTAGATGATTTAGGATGGAGACATTCTTCACTCAAAGAGTGGTGAATCTGTGGAATTCATTACCACAGGAAGTAGTTGATGCCAAAACATTGAATGTATTCAAGAGGTGACTAGATATAGTACTTGGGTTGAATGGGATCAAAGGTTATGGGGAGAAAGCAGGATTAGGCTATTGAGTTGGATGATCAACCATTATCGGGAAGAATGGCAGAGCAGGCTCAAGGGGCCAAATGGCCGCCTCCTGCTCCTGTCTTCTATATTTAAATGTAAGAAATTTTTTTAAATGATGAGAGGCTGGGATCTCGGGAGATCCAAATTGAATTGTGTCTGTGTTCAAAGGAAATTAATAAAAACTCATCATCAATTGAAACTAGTAATGGAGTAAACTCATGGAATTTTGTTTAAGACTTATTCTTGGCAAACTTGCCTATTATGTCTCTTAAAATGATGAGAAGTCAAAGCTTTTTCTACTACATGTGACTATGATCTTTTACCAAAAAAAGGAAAGACATGGCAGTCGTTCATTGATTTGGCTTTGAAGGCAACATTGCCACTCATCTCCATTCCTACGTCTAACATGTGACTTGGAGTATTTTCTGTAGTGTAGTGTTCTGTGTTCATGGACTATTTCTAGGGAACAGAACTATAAGCACTCAGTGATGATTGAGACTGAATATTGATTAATGCAACCATCCAACTTAATTTGTCTTTCCTTATTTTCCAGCTTTATGTGGGCCTTTGAGAAGATTCATCGCAGTATCGTTCAACGATTTCAGGGAGAGCTTGTAGCAATTTTCGATGAAGAATTCCGCATTCTTTTTGCCCAGTCAAACCCCCTCCCTGGTGTAGAGAATCTCATACCAGAACCAGATAATTTTTACACTGTGAAACCATACCAGCCTACTGATTGGTGGCGACGTAAACAAAGCCCTAGACTTGTGCATCAAGAGGATATGCTTTCACAGCATTCTGGATATTCATGGGCAGATCCGGATCGTGACCATTTTGGCCATAGTTTTAGACAGAATGATGTTTACAGACAAATGAAGGAGGAATCTGGCATTACAGGAAGCATGAGGCAGCTTACACATGTTCAGCAGGAGGATTTTCAACTTGATCCTACATCCAGTGTTCTGCTAAGAGCAAAGCAGATGGACATGAATGCGTTTAAACGGAGAAGTTACGCAGAAGGGACTTTCGAAAGTTATGATTCTATGGTACATAGATATGGACGAATAAGTGAGCATTATGATGAATTAGATGCTAGATCTGAGCAATTATTCAGGGAAAAGAGGTATCCTTTGGAGCCTGGATTAACAAGGAATAGGTTCAGCTCATTTAACAGTAAGCATGTAAAAGATGGCCTGGGAATACTCGAACGATTTAGACAAAACAGAACAACTCAGCATCAGTACAATGAGTCAGCGGAACAGCCGAGGCACTGGTATGATCAAAAGAATCATGAGGAGGCTTGTTTGACTGGTTTACCACTCCATCCACCTCTGGTAAACTATGAACCTTCCAACGCCTCCAAAGAAGTCCGGCATGGTTCAAATGATTTTGATCCAGTGGCTGATGGAAGGCTAGGGCAGAAAATACAGAAGCGCCCCAATATTGGCCAATCATATGCCTGTCAAAAGTCACCAACTCAGAAACAGGTTCTGGATCCAAAAATGCTTTTCACAGAGTCCAGTCTGGGCCGAAAATCTGATGATCAGCCCACCAAACATGGGCTGAGAAGATGGAGAATCGGCTCTTATTTCAGAGATCAGGATGAGCACCCCAAACAGCTTGAAGATGTTTCTGCACCAGATGAATCTCAGAACAACAATGAAGTGCTCCATGATTCAAGGCAGAACAGAGCCCCTTTAGAGAAACCCTTGTTCAGAGAATCTGCACAGATTACAAGTTATAAACATTTGGATCTATACAACTCAAAGTCTCCAAAAACAGATTTGTCCGATGACCAATCTCTGTCATCGGATAAAGGATATGACGAACGGAATGTGAAGTTGGCAAAACATGAATCCATCCGTAGTAAACTCAACCCTATGTTGCAAAGGAGCAGACTGCGTTCTTCATTGATCTTCAATAATTCCAAGACAGAACAGCATATCACACAAAAAGGGAAAGGGATCCAGAGCATCAGGGAGCAGAAGCAGGAGGAAGAAAAGGAATCCGAAGGGATTCAGGAATCTAAAGCAGCTGCAGATTTGCAGAAAAGTAGCAGCAATGACCAAACCAAACCTATCCAATATTCAATGCCTGATAGGACGTTCCCAAATGAGACTTCCAAAACATCCGAACCAAATCTCAAAGAGGTTTTTACTGGAAAAAAACTAGATTTAGACCTGGGTTGGCAGCAGACTGACTCTGCTTTCGGTAGCCATGACCCAGACACTCAATCTAGTGACCAGCATGAAGCAAGGTCAAAAGTAGACCTTCAACTGAGCAAAAAGGTACAAGATGCCATTAGCAAAATGACCCAGCGTACATCATTATCAAAAGAAATTAAAACACCATATATACAATCAGCAAAGACTGAAAAGCTGCCTCTGGAAAAACCCGGAAAGGCCATTAATTCTGCAGCTAGGCAACAAGATCCCCCACCCTCTCAGCTGGCTGTCGGGTCTTTGCAGCCAGGACTCCTGCCCTCTGAATCAGCCACTCTGAATAATGCTAGCAATCCCCAAAGATCCTCTTCTAGCTTGAAACTGGAGGATGCTGATGGCAATTTAGCAAAGATCAAGATGCATTCATCTACTCTGTGTCTGGACACAAGAGAGGGTAAAGAGGATAAGGCAGGAGGGGAATCCACAATTTTAAATTCCATTTCAAAGAGTCCCTCAAGATTGAAAAGTTTTCTCAACCTTCCTGGTGACACAAAATCAAAAGAAATGCACAACAATGTAGACCTAGCGCAACCTCTGACTTCAGTCAAAGAGAATGAGAAGAATCCTGAAAAGCTATCAAAAACTGTCCAGAGTGAGGTGGTACTTTCCAATTCTGAGAAAGAGGAGAAACCACGAAGGCCTCCAGCCAATCCCACTGCACCCAAAGGTTTACAAACTGTCCAAGGGAGCAGGTATTCTACATCTACCTCCAATGCCCTTTACAGCAGCAACCTTCGAGATGATACCAAGGTCATCCTAGAGCAAATCTCTGCCAACAGCCAGAAGAATCGGGCTGAGAGTGCCAAAGTGCAACATGCCAGCACCAGTGAGAATGTAACTCCAGGAGAATCAAAGGAAAAGGTTACTCCTGAGTCAGACAAAACAGACTCTGATAAAAAGCAGCAGTTTGGTATCTCATCAAGGTTTTCAAACTCTATTAAAAACAAAGGCAAAGCTCAGGCAACACCTGACTATGTTGATCCCTTAATTAAGAGGATGGACAGTTTTCGAAAAGAGAAACGCGTATACAGCAGGTTTGAAGTCTTCTACAAGAAAGATGACTCGTTGAAAACAGAAGACACTTCTGCAGGCCAACAAGGTGACGAATCACAAGATTCTATGGACATAGATAGTGGAGACAAAAAGAAAGCTTCAAAAATAATTCCCAAGCTTCTTGAGACGCTTAAGAGGTTTTAACGCTCCCTGTAATTTACTAAACTAGGTGGAGCTGAACCACAAGTACCTAGACTGCTTGTTGCTGGGTGCTGATATTGGTGATTTTTGTTTAAAGGTGCAGAATATCGAATACTGCTGTAAATTATAGGAATGGTTAACCATATACAGATCCTTCAAATATCCAATTTTAGATAAGTGTGGTAACATACAGCAAGACAAGGAACATAGCACTCTGATCCACTCACTGTAGTGAAAGAATCTTTGAAAGTTGGATGAGACTCAAGAGATTGTTTGGGGAGGAAAGATGTAGACCTACGCGTTAAACCCTTTCATTTTACAACCTAACTTGTGTTTAGGATTTCATGGTGCTGGCAGAATATACACAATTGTATAAAGTCAACAACTGAAATAAATGAGGTCAGGAAGCTTGTCATCTGTAGTACTGGTACTTGAACATAGCCTTTAATATTGCTTCACTTTGAAAGAAGATTCAGCACTCTCAAACTGGGGAAGTGTTTACAAGAGCAGATAAAATATTAAGTTAATGAGATTGATTTTCGTGGGCTTTTTAAGGAATAGCAAGAGAAACATAGGAATAACTGCCTTCATATATTAGACAAGTTGTAGTGCAAGAAGTGACACATTCCAAAATGCCAAAGATGCAGCTAGCCATACACAAACTTGCATTAATAACATGGGATCCTCTTCATGATTAAGTGGGAAGTTTCAACTTACTTTTGCTTTTTTAAAGGAACAGTTTGTAGTGGTTACATATCTACGATTATCAAACAAGTGTAATGTAACCTCAGCTTTGTACAGTGCAAATGGGTTAGCATTCTGGGTCAATTGTTTCTTATGTAAAAAGCCAGTAATTTCAGCTACTAGTTCCAGACTGACCAGTGTTAACATCTATTTTGTGAATCTTTTGCACAAGCCAGTTCAGTTTAAATATTTTTACTTTCTATTTCCCTTCCCATCTTAAGTTAGGAGCTCGTGTTTAAGGTATAGTTTCACACATGTTCACATCCCTCAGAAAAGCGGCTATTCTTAATTGTAAGCCTTAATTGAGACTTTTTGACACTGTTTTGCTCAGTGATCATGCACACCGCACTTTCCAACAAGTGAGACTGATGTGAGCACCCTGTCAGTTATTGTTTCCTCCCGAGCCTGAGAACACGAGCTAATTATAGTCTTTGATTTCTGCTAACTGCATAATGTCTATGATAAGCAAGGTTTACATTGAATTCTCTCTATCTTCCTGGTATTTTTAAACTAGCTTCCTCTTATATGCAGCAATACTATCTGCTGTATGCAAGAATCACGTCTTTGTTTCTTGGTGACTATCTTATATTGCTACATCTGATTGATGAGATTAACAAGTTCTTGCTTTTCTTCTTCCCCACGGTAGAAGCTCAGTTCCAATGTGAACGCATTGAAAGATGAAATAACTACACTGTGCTTGTAAGCTTGATTATGAACAGCTATTTGTGCGATGTATACCAAATGTAAATATTTTTGATACTGTGCAAGGTTGCTGCCTATATCCATTCACAAAGCTGTTACTTTGTAATAAGAAAGATGCTACATTAACAAATGTAAATTCACTCTGTATTTAACCTGTGCTGTACTTGTCTTGGGAGTGTTTGGGAACTCCATAAGGAGGTTTTCTTTCAGTTCAAAACAGTGGAGGAAGCTTTACTCTGTATCTAACCCCATGTTGCCCCTGTCCTGGGTCTGTTTGTTGGGGACTGTGTAAAGGAAGTTTTACTCTGTGTCTAACCCTGTGGTGTACATATCCCAGGAGTGTCTGAAGGGGAACAGTGTTGAGGAAGCTTTACTTTCAGTTTAAAAAAAAGAGTACAGGCAGGTTTATATCTGTATCTAACCCTGTGGTATACCAGTACTGGGAGTGTTTGATGGGGACAGTGTAGAGGTACGTTCTGTCCCTGCCCTGAGAGTGTTCAGTAGTGATAATAGATCTCTGAAATGCAAAGTTGTGCAATCTCCTGCACAAACCCTTCAAAAAGTTCAAAGCTGATGGATGTGCAGGTGTGGAAGGGGTTTGGGGAGAACAAATCCACCTTGCAATGACTGATAATATTGGAAAGATAATCTAACAGTCAGACAACAAATGGTATAACGTCAGCCTCTGCCATGGGAAAGCAGGGTTTCCCATTTCCCTGTGACTGTCTTGGTCTTCAGGAAGGGAGAAGTGTGGAATTAAGTTAAAATGTTACTATTTTGTGTGTCTATGTATTTTACACCTAAGAGGGAATAATCTTTGCAGTTTATTATATTTGATGTTCATAACATTCCTTGACCATCAAGACAAGGAATTATTTAACTATTTCTCTGGGAACTCTGGTCACTCTGATTTAATTCCAGTTTTCAGAGTCATGCTGGCTATGGCATCTTCGATGCATGTAAACACCTTAGCCAGCCACGGAAGACATTGTAACCAAGCCAGTCTTGCTTTCTACCAGACAGGGTTACTCTGGCTAGTGTTTTTTTTTACAGCACATGGACTGCAGCTCACCACCACCTTCTCAAAGGCAACTACGAATAAGAAATAAATGCTGGACAGCCAGCAATGCCCACATCCACAAGAGAATTTTTTAAAAGTTGTTCTGCCAAGCGACTGAGTTTGAATTTGGCCCAATCCCAGGTTGCACTGTCATAAGTCTTGCCTGCTCCAAATCAAGAAAAAATATTACCAGTGAAGATATCTACTTGTACAGAAGCAAAGTAGATGTGCAAGACTGCACCTTGAAGTCTTGTGTGCTGTCTGGTCCCCCTGCCTAAAGAAAGATATTCTTGTTATTAAGGGAGTATAGCAGTGGTTCACCAGATTCATCCCTGGGGTGGGGGACTGTCCTAGAAGGAGAGATTCAGCAGGTCAGGACAGTATTCTCTGGAATTTAGAAGAATAAAGGCGAGCTGATGGAAACTTACAATATCTAGATGTTCTGAATAACCAGGCGGTCCAGAACCAGGGTTTACAGTCTAAGGATACAGGGAAGCCATTTAGGACTGAGATAAGGAGAAGTTTATAATTCTCTGCCACAGAAAGTGATTGGGGCCAAAGAGGAGTTAAATATCATTCTTAGAGCTAAAAGGATCAAAGCGTTAGGGAGAAAGCAGGAACAGAATACTGAGTTGGATGATCAGTTTGGATAATTATCATTTTGAATTGCCTACTCTTATTTTGTATGTTTCTTTTTGGATAGACAAGATTTGGTACAGAAAGGGTGTTTCCCCTAGCAAGGAGGGGATCTAGAACCAGGGGAACCGTCTGAGTAAAAGGCAAACAGTTTAGGAGTTAGATGAGCAGGAACACCCTCTTCAGAGGGTGGTGAACTTTTGGAATTCTTTGCTCCAGAGGGCTGTGGTGTATCAATCATTAAACTCAAGAAAGAGATGAATGGATTTTCAGTTACTAATGGCATCAAGTGATTTGGCAATAGCATGGGAACATGGCAATGAGGCAGATGATAAGCCATGATCTAGAACGACCTCCCCCAGTCTTATGTCCCTGTTTAAGAATAGCCAATTGCATTAAGTATTTTTACAGGGATGAGGAATGCAGACCACATGAGCGAGTGTCAGGGTAACCTTGCTATATTCCAGGAGACAGAGTGACCTGACTGCACCAGTGAGGAAGAGCAGAGAAAATTGTCTTTGGAACATTCTCTTTATCTCCATTTAACCTAAACACAAAATGGCCTTCTGAAGGGAACCATTCCCTCTAAATTTACTTGCAAAATCAGGGATGGCTATCTGTTTAACCTGAGAAGGTGGGGGATGGGGCAGATTAGCAGAAACAAAACAACTAGGAAAGCTTTGACAAACATGCCAATATAAATGGAACTAAAGTACCTTTTAAACACGTGCAATGGTTTGATTACTGAATGTATTGTTCTGTATATCTCAATACAATATGTAATAAACCATATTCTCTTGTACTTCAGCACAACAGCAGCTAAATAAACAGCGTATAGTTTGCACTGAGCCTGTTGTCACATTTATTGTAAAAACCCAGCTGCTTTTTTGGATGACAAACTTAAAATTCTCACTGCATATTTTTATTAGAAAATTATTCATGGGACTTTGTGTAACAATAAAAATAATAAAGTGTGAGTGAGGATGCTAGGTAAGAAAGGTGACAGGTCTTTAGAGAGTGGGTATCAGTCAGCAGTGCTTAATCAGTTAATGATAATGGAACAAAAGTAGGGTCATGCTCAGGAGCCCAGAGGAACAGTGAGCCAAGAATCTCAGCACAGGAATGGAGGAAGTCCTGAAGGTTACCTTCAGTTTTGTTTTTAAAATGTACACGATATTAGCAAGCCCAAAATTATTAATTGTTTATGCTCCTAACAAAATGCAGTAAATCACTATAATCCATGCCTGCAGAAGGAAAACAGGATAGTAAATATATATGGGACAAAAGCTATGATCCATAAATCAATCACAACAGATCGTTCACGAGCAAAAGGTTTGATTATTTTGGGATGGTGTCTGTTTTAGATATTGTCATTACTGTAAATTGAAGAATTGGAAAAACAATCCTTCAGATGCTGCAAATCCACAGCAATTTAGGCAACAACTGGGGAGGCAGAAAGATGAAATGGTTAAGGTTGATGCGATTTCTCACTATTTATGATTTTAAAAAACCCAAAAAGAAAGCAAGGGACAAGAAGGCAGACAGAGAGAGAGAAAAAAAACTCACTCGAAGGGCGAGGCAATGGCCTAGTGGGATTATTGTTGGACCGTTAATCCAGAGACTCAGGTGACATTCCGGGGATCCGGGTTCAAGTCCTGTCATGGCAGATGGTGGAATTTGAATTCAATAAATATCTGGAATTAAGGGTCTAATGATATCCGTGTAGGAAAAACCTATCTGGTTCCTTAATGTCCTTTAGGGAAATAAACTGCTATCTTTACCTGGTCTGGCCTACATGTGACTCCAGACCTACAGCAATGTGACTGACTCTTAACTGCCTTCTGGACAATCAGGGATGGGCAATAAATGCTGGCCTAGCCAGCAATGCTCTCATTCTGTGAATGTTTTTTTTTTAAATATGGAACTAGAAAGGAAAGCAGGAGACAGATGACTGAGTGTAGAGAAAGTGAGTGGGAAGTTCATGGGAGATAGAAATGATGGAGGAAGCTGGAGCATCTACAGTCTAGAATATTACTGGAACTTTTCTGGCGATGCCAAGGGTGGATACATAGGAGTCATGAGAGCACTTTTGAAAGAGAGGGAGACGGTTTACAATATCAGCTAGAACAGCACCCAGAAAAGACAGCTGAATTGTTAGCAGGCAATGAGGTCGACGGAGCAAGAATCTGTTGTCATGGATGATGTGAGATAGGGAAAGGACCTGGGAGATTCCAAAAGTAACTGGAGAGAGAAATGAAATCAGGGTTACGGCTGGAGCAGGATCTGGAATTTCTTTCAGATGGTTTACCTTTGTAGGTAATGAGAAGGGAAAAGCAACTAAAGCAGATAGGTCAGAAATCACACAACACCAGGTTATAGTCCAACAGGTTTATTTGAAAACATAAGCTTTTGGAACCACATGAGGTGAGATTCGATCACATTTTGGATCCAGTCTGATCTAGTGATACCTCTGTATGACTTACTTCCATTGTAAACTAAACTATCTTTAGTTTATGTCTAAACTTCAGATACAGTTTCCCTCAATCTGTCAATAAGGTTTCACTGAGTCATAAATTTATATAAAAATGTGAGATACAATTGACAACACCGCCACCTCATGGCAGAAAAGTAACAATACCACAAAACTATACGCTCAGATAGGAATCTGACCATTTCAAGTATAAAAATATGACTGGACACAAAGATTCTTTTTAAAAGTTTTCGAATATGTATGACATTGTAATTGCTGTATTTGGGGCCGACGACAGCATTCCATCTCATTTTGGTGTTCTGATACAGCATTCCAGAATATTGAGTCAGTGATGATGAAAGGGTGCTGATGTTTACACAATTCATACAGTTGTAAAGGTCTACAGCATAGAATCAGGCCCTTTGGCCCAACTTATCCATGCTCCTCAGTTTTCACAATTAAACTAGTCCCATTTGCCTGTGTTTGCTCCATATCCCTTCATACCTATCCCATCCATGTGTCTGTTGAAATGTTTCTTAAATGACAAAATTGTACTAGTTTCCACCACTACTTCTGGTAGCCCATTCTAGACACTGACCAGCTTGTGTGTGAAAAAATTGCCCCTCTGGACTCTTCTGTATCTCTCCCCTCTCACCTTAAACCTATGCCCTCTGGATTTAGACTCCCCTACCATGGGAAATTTACCTTATCAATGCCTCTCATGATTTTATAGACCTCTATAAAGGTCAACCCCAGTCTCCTACGCTCCAGGGGAAAAAAAGTGGGAAATTTTTAACTTTTATTTAAAATTTTTAACTTTGGCTTGATTTGACCCACTAAAATGCAACATCTTGCATTTATCTAAATTAAACTCTATCTGTCATTCCTCAGCTCAAGATCTCGCTGCCTTCTCATATAACCTTCTTCATTGTCCACTATACCACCAATCTTGGTGTCATCTGCAAAACTTACTAACCACACCTTCGAATTTCTTATCCAAATCATTTATGTAAACGATGAATAATTGGGCCCAGCACCGATCCCTGTGCCACACCGCTGGTCACAGGCCTCTAGTCTGAAAAACAACTGTCAACCACCACCTCTGCTGGGAAATAGCTGGGAAACTACGGGTCTGAACAGGATATCAGGTTTGTGTACTTTGGGTAGTCCGTAGTATCAGGGGATGTTTGATCCATTGGATTTCATTTTTAGGAAGTCTGTTCTTGATATTTGGCCTGCCTGTTGTAATTTCTTTAGTGTATCAGTGATTCTGTTCCCTAACTGTGATACAAAGAAAATTACAGCACAGGAACAGGCCCTTCGGCCCTTCAAGCCTGCGCCGATCCAGATCCTCTATCGAAACCTGTCGCCTATTTTCCAAGGATCTGTATCCCTCTGCTCCCTGCCCATTCATGTATCTGTCGAGATACATCTTAAATGATGCTATCGTGCCCGCCTCTACCACCTCCGCTGGCAACGCGTTCCAGGCACCCACTACCCTCTGCGTAAAGAACTTTCCAAGCATATCTCCCTTAAATTTTTCCCCTCTCACCTTGAAATTGTGACCCCTAGTAACTGAGTTCCCCACTTTGGGAAAAAGCTTCTTGCTATCCACCCTGTCTATACCTCTCATGATTTTGTAGACCTCAATCAGGTCGCCCCTCAACCTCCGTCTTTCTAATGTAAATGATCCTAATCTACTCAACCTCTCTTCATAGCTAGCGCCCTCCATACCACGCAACATCCTGGTGAACCTCCTCTGCCCCCTCTCCAAAGCACCCACATCCTTTTGGGAATCTGGTGACCAGAACTGTACGCAGTATTCCAAATGTGGTTGAACCAAATTCCTATACAACTGTAACATGACCTGCCAACTCTTGTACTCAATACCCCGTCCGATGAATGAAAGCATGCCGTATGCCTTCTTGACCACTCTATCCACCTGCAATGCCACCTTCAGGGTACAATGGACCTGAACACCCAGATCTCTCTGCACATCAATTTTCCCCGGGGCTTTTCCATTTACCGTATAGTTCACTCTTGAATTGGATCTTCCAAAATGCATCACCTCACATTTGCCTGGATTGAACTCCATCTGCCATTTCTCCACCCAACTCTTCAATCTATCTATATTCTGCTGCATTCTCCGACAGTCCCCTTCACTATCTGCTACTCCACCAATCTTAGTGTCATCTACAAACTTGCTAATAGACCATCTGTACCTTCCTCCAGATCATTTATGTATATCACAAACAACAGTGGTCCCAACACAGATCCCTGTGTAACACCACTGGTCACAGTTCTCCATTTTGAGAAACTCCCTTCCACTACAACTCTCTGTCTCCTGTTGCCCAGCCAGTTCTCTATCCATCTAGCTAGTACACCCTGGACCCCATGCGACTTCACTTTCTCCATCAGCCTACCATGGGGACCCTTATCAAACGCCTTACTGAAATCCATGTATATAACATCCACAGCCCTTCCCTCATCCATCAACTTTGTCACTTCCTCAAAGAATTCTATCAAGTTGGTAAGACATGACCTTCCCTGCACAAAACCATGCTGCCTATCACTAATAAGACCATTTTCTTCCAAAAGTAAATAGATCCTATCCCTCAGTATCTTCTCCAGCAGCTTCCCCATCACTGACAACAGGCTCACCGGTCTATAATTACCTGGATTATCCTTGCTACCCTTCTTAAACAAGGGGGCAATATTAGCAATTCTCCAGTCCTCCGGGACCTCACCCGTGCTCAAGGATGGGGCAAAGATATCTGTTAAGGCCACAGCTATTTCCTCTCTTGCGTCCCTCAGTAACCTAGGATAGATCCCATCCTGACCTGGGGACTTGTCCACCCTAATGCCTTTTAGAATACCCAACACTTCCTCCCTCCTTATGCCGACTTGACCTAAAGTAATCAAACATCTATCCCTGACCTCAACATCCATCATGTCCCTCTCCTTGGTGAATACTGACACAAAATGTGGGGTCTGACTCCCTCTGTTGGTAAGTGCTGGTATCTGCAAGTAGTTTTTGTGCTTTTCTCGGTGTAGTTAGGGTTGTTCATTAAAACCGTCAAGCGGCCTTTGTCTGCTGATAAGATAATGATATTCCTGTCCTTCTTTGAGGGTTTTTCTTTGTGTGTGTTGAGTGTGTTTGTGAGGCTTCTCCTGGTCAATGTAGGGACTATGGTTTGACAGATGGCTTGTTGTGTTTCGTCCACGAGTCCATCAGATTTCAGTGCAGCTTCGAGCGCAGCCAGGAAGTCCAAACAAGAACGAAGAACAAAGAAAATTACAGCACAGGAACAGGCCCTTTGGCCCTCCAAGCCTGCGCCGATCCAGATCCTCTATCTAAACCTGTCGCCTATTTTCCAA